CCACACTTCGATGATAAAACAGAAAATAGTACTGACCTGACAGAAATTTCTATGGTGCAAATACTGAGGAAAACGACTTATCTTTGACTAAGCAAAAAAAAAAAAAAAAATTGCAATGAGAACAACTTAATCAAAGGCAAGTCATTTCTTTAAAATGGAAAATGAAGTGGCAATTGTGGAGTTAAATCATACACTGTGTACACATTCCCTTCTAATAGGAAAAATTGTAGTCAATAACACTATATGTTCTTCAGAATTTCTATAAAATGTATTATTTCTCTCATTTAATGGCAACCTATATTGTTAAACAGCCAAAAGTATCCTTGGTCCAGCTTCAATAACAACTCTGCATGTACATGTATATATGATTTTCCTAGGAATGGTTCTGTATTGGATATTTTCATGTTTCATGAAAAGGGGCAAAGCTCACATTTAAACTTAAAAAAAAACAAGAAACAATGATGTTTTTATGCAATTTTAACATGCAAATATAAAAGTTATTGAAAAAAGAGACAAAGGGAAGAATACAGGATAGCCTCCAAAAGACTCACACAATTTCATGTCCTGTAACAGCAGCTTAAAACAAATTCAAACAAGTGTCACAGCTGCCAGGGTTTCTCTCCCACAATTAGAGTAAGTGAGGGAAAGATTTTACTATCAATAAGACCAAAGAGGCTGTAAAACAAGACAGTTAACCCCAAATCTATAATGTTCGAAAAAAGGGGAGAGGTCAGCAAAATTTTCAGAAATCTGTAATCTGAAGTGGGTCTGGAGAAAAATTCATTTATCCTGAACTAAAATACTGACCAGCAGAGCCTGCCCCAAGGGTGTGAACACACGCAACAGTTGTGCTGACAGTAATGCACCATCTGATAGGAAGAACCTTCATAGGCTTCTCAAAATATAGCTGCACTGAAACAGTATAAAGATTTTGATCTGGATATTCATTAGTAGAAGCACAGGTACATTTCCTTGATTATGAAATTATTTAACACTTGTCCTTTATGATGCACTTATCTAATATAAAATTCTTAATTTAAAATGCATTTCTGAGCAGATCAGCCTTCTTGAGATTCTGCCAGTACAGATATGTCTTAAATACATCCCCAACACCATAAAAGCAATGCATCAGATGAGAAATTCTACAGGAAGCATTTCCCCCTCCTCCTATTTACACAGTTATTCAAAGCCCAGCTGACTTCCAGGCACTGAACTATGGATGCCATCTACTTCCACTGTAATGTGCACCTGGCTTTCACAGAAGATATACTTAGTACGGCTGTTGCAATTGTGATAATCGTGGATAAGCTCGTTTCCTAGATTACTATTAGCAAATTCAAAGAGTCATAAAGATACTCTGGCTTACTTATACTACAAAGAGAATTACTCATTTAAAATAGGGAATACTTCAGAATGAACTTGCAAATTAAGTTTATTATTTTAGAATGTGAATTCAATGTGGTTATATTTAGTCATTTGCATTTAAGAGACTATGCAACTTCAAAAATACTACGGTACACTACCCTTAAATAATTTAATGCAGATGTAGGGGAAAAAAGATTATGTTCTTCCACAAGCCATCACCTCAGGTGTCCATGGAGTTTAAAAAAAATATTTGAAATTATTTCATGTTCTGTTTCAATGATAGTCATGCTAACAAAACTTACTGGATCATCAAACCTTATAGAACAAGTATATGAATTTATTTTTAATAAATTATCATTTTTGCATATATCAGTCAAAGGACAAGGCCTAAATACTTGCAAACAAAATGCATTATTAATTTAATTGTCACAGCCTATTTAGCTAACTTCTACTACTATTTGCTATAATATGCAATGCATTAGAGAAGTGAATTAAATTCAAAACATAAAAAAACTGATTATATTGTCCTGAAGAAATTAAAATATAGCAAGCTTGCAAAAGTATAACCAAGGCCTTAATGTTTTAAATAGGTAAGAAAAATATTTAACTTAATTTAGAGAACAGTTATGTGCAGACTGATGGCTCAGCATGCTGATAAGGGGTTTCTCTGCTTCCTAAAATCACGAAAAGGCAAGCAAGAGGATGAAATGGAAGAAAGGAGCCTGTGGGCATTTCTTGTGCTAGAGTGACCCCCTTAAATCTTAGGCTTCTCTAGCTATGGATAGCTACTGGAAAACTGTACTACTGTTAAAGTCCTGGCCTTCCAATTCAGTATATCTATGTAATAAGAGAGAGTGCCATGTAAACAGATGTCACAAACAAGAAGTTCTTTGAAACAAAGAATGTTTAATTTAAAAAAAAAAAATCCAAAGATGTTTGATTTAGATGAAAGTTACAGCTTGGAGTGCTTAAAGAATATTAATAATCCACAAGATGTTTGTGTTTTCCCACTTGAGATTGACTTCCTAAGACAAAAATAGTCTCAATGTCAGAGAAAAGCTTACCATAGAACAAGAGGGGAGAAAGACATTCAATCTTTCTCTTGCCTCTTTTTTAGTCTCCCTTTATGCGTTTGGAGCTGAAATGAGTAAAAAGAAAGTGTCCTGGAATGCACAGAAAAAGGTAAATAAAAAACCAAGAAGTAAAACCTGTAACTTTCAAACTCATATTTTAATATATAAGAGTTGTCTAGCATTTTTAAGTTGATACACACACACACACACACACACACACACACACACACAGAGTTTTATATAGATGAATTTTTCAATGATATGAAACATAAACACTTCTTCAAATATTTAAAAGTTCTCTCTCCCCCCCTCACCTTGGGGAGGTGAATCTTCTCTCTCTCTTCTCTTCCTCTCTCTAATTTACTTTTAAATAAACTTTTCTTCCTTTGCAAAAAAAATATATATATATTTAAAAGTTCTAAATAAAAAGCAAAATGATATATGAGTTCAAATATATACTACTTAAAAGTATACTTGTGAAAATGTTTTCTTTTTCCTACATATCTAATCTAGATTGTTTTCATTCTAATTTATTTTGAAATAAGAGACAAAAAAGTAGCGGTTCCATCATTTATTAATTATGAGGTATTGCATAAATTATCATATCTTCCTGGCTCTCAGTCCTTTCATCTATAAAACTGGAAAAATAGTTCTGCTAATAAGGTCATACAATGATTGAGATAATGTATGTGAAAGCAATCGGAACATAATAATTACAAATATGTTTTGTTTCCACATACTTAAACAATACACATGAAACTTAACTTTAATAAGTCTCAAATTATTCTTTAAAAATATAGGGCCAGGTTCGGTGGCTTAGTCTGTAATCCCAGCACTTTGGGAGGCCGAGGCGAGTGGATTGCCTGAGCCCGCAGATTCAAGATCAGCCCAGGCAACTTAGTGAGAGCTCATCTCTATAATAAATCAAAAAATGAGCCAGTCTTGGTAGCGGGCACCGTAGGTCTGGCTACTAGGAAGACTGAGGCGGAAGGGTCGCTGGAGCCCATCAGGTCGACGCTGGGGTGGCCGTGAGCGTGCCACTGCACTCCAGCCTGGGCAACGGAGTGAGATTCTGACTCAAAAACAAATTTATATATAGAATGCTTTTAGATTTTAAGAATAATGCATCTGTGACATCCAATCCATACATTTCAGCTGCATATTAAATATAATGTTATATTAGAAAAGTATGGAAAACCAAAAGTATGGGTAAAAAAGAGGCATGCACTACATCTCAATGTATTGATGCAGCAGTACTCTAGGTCCATACTCCAACGCGAAAGAATAAAATAGGGGCCAAGCGCGGTGGCTCAAGCCTATAATCCCAGCACTTTGGGAGGCCAAGGCGAGAGGACTGCCTGAGCCCGGGGTTCGAGATCGGCCTGGGCAACTTAGTGAGACCTCATCTTCACAATATATCAAAAAAATTAGCTGGGCATGGTAGCACGCGCCAGTAGTTCCAGGTACTTGGAAGGCTGAGGCAAAAGGATCACCGAAGCCTAGCAGGTCGATGCTAGGGTGGCGGTGAGCGTGCCACTACCCTACAGTGGGCAACTGAGTGAGACTCTGACTTAAAAAAAAAATAAATAAACAAAAAGAAAAGAAAAGAAAGAAAACAATAGGCCTCCAGTAGAAAATGCAAGCTACAATCCTCATAAGCAGAAAAAAAATATCAGTAAGAACATTTTAAATGTTTTTAAAAGGCTAATTTGCAAATATGGCTGAAAAGGCCTCAGGCTTCAGACTAGTAGAACAAATTGAATCATTATAGAATTTTAAATAATATATTAAAACAAAAGTTTCTGGGAGTGTCTGTAGAATTTTTGGATGCAATTGGAGGATTTGAGGGAGGTTAAAATCTACCTGACATTAAGGAAGGAAATACTGCTTTCACTAGTTTTGACTAAGCCGTACATTTTAAAGATCTAAAATTTCAGAAGTACCCATGCTCACCTGGTAGCTGGCATTGCTATATTTCAGTTCACCTAATATAATTAAGTCTATGTGATGAAGCTAATTATGATACAGTAGCAAGAAAAAAGAAAACTTGGCAGTTGATGACATAATAATTGTAGTGTTATTTTTCATGACATGGCAACTGTAGTATTATTTGGGGGATGACACAAGATGTATTTCTTTTTTAATAGCAGCAATGTTTAAGTCTACAATAAGAAATCAAAAATGTTATTTTAAAACCTCAAAATAAAAATATAGAATAAAACAGACATGGTTAAGTTTTACATATTTATTTTAGCATATTCTAGTGCATTCACAGAATTTAATGTCCTCCAATTTAACTCTTCTGTTTCAAGGTTGTTTCACAAATTCAAAGTTCTTAAAATCCTTTCAAATACTTCTATACTAGAACTTTTTAAAATTTAACTATGACATTAAATTTTTGTGGAAGTATGGCATAAAAGATGATATTCAACAATAGAGTAGCACAAAACCAACACATGATGAACTGACTTGATAAAAATTCTAGAAGTTGTCTCAATGAACAAAGCCCAAAATAAAAATGTAGTTATAGTTTTAAATTTTAAAAAAACAGATGAAAATTACCTCTCTTTTGGGGTACCAACTCCATGTTTGCCTAGTAGATGAGTATTTAAGTGCTTCTTCATTACAAAAGCAACCCTAAAAAAATAAATAAAGGTAAATTAGAGAACTAAAACTTGAACCTCTGCTAAAAAATTGTACAAAAAGTATTTAAAAGTTATAAGCATATTTGCACAGATATAACACAAAAATGCATATTATAATGGCACTCTTGCTAAACAAAATCTTGCATATTGATTAAATATACTGTAATTTTAAAAAGCAGAAGAAATAACTACAGCTAAGTTGACTGGTTCATTTTCTGATTTGGGTATATTAACAGGGCCCCAAAGATCAAAACAATGATTGGAGTCCTTCAGTCATTGTCTTCACTTCCAGTCCGTAAGAAGGATAAAGCAATACCTCACTAGAACATTCACTGCCCCTAGCTGATCTCACACTTCAATCATGAAATGAGTTTGAGAAAATGTCATTCTATTAAATATTTAAAGGACCATAAAAGGGAAAATGAATAGCTTTCATGAAGCTTCCTTAAAAACATGGTAATAATTTGAAGAGAGATTCTTTAAAATGATATGTTTACTGTATCTTCAGCACACAAAAAAATTGTACTGAAGTGCCAAGAAGATATCAATAACTAAAACAACCAAAAAGTATTACCTGACACACTATCTTATTTTATATACAAATCAGCTTACTTAATTCAATTTTGTTGACATAAACATGAAATGGACAGGAATCAGCAGCTAGTACATGAGTGCCATTCTTCTACTGAACACAGTGCAACATCAATTTAATTACGTCATGTGATTATTTAAAACAATTTAGACCTCATTCAGAAGCATCAGACTAAAATGGCTCTCTTGATAAGCGGGAAAAAATTTATTGTTGTAACTTTCAGTGTAAAAGGGCTTGCAAACATTTTTGTTAATTATGTATTACAGCTGTCCTTCATAAAGTTAATTACTAATAGCTGAAAGGCAACAGAATGTATTTGCATGTGTACATGAAAGGCATGACATATGCAAAAATATGATTTTAATTAGTATTCTATGATATGAAAGGCTACAAATCAAATTGGCATGTTATAAGATTCTTAACATTAAGCACTGAATTCATCTGGACATGTTTGCACAAATGAGCAACGTAGGACTGTAAAGTACGGTAGCAGCCCAGGAGAGACTTGTGACGAAAACCAAGCACAAAACAATTTCTCAAAATGTGAATGCTTCTTTTCATGTCTAGCCTATTTTGTTTGATTTCATATAATATTACAGAACCTCAATTTTAAGCCCAAATAAGTATGACTTCATTATTCAAATAATGCACTAATATACAACGAAAATAACATTTATTCTTATTTATATATTTGATAATAACAACTGTGGACAACATCACTTTACAACTATAAATAACTGGCCCTACTATCAATCATTGAAATAGAGATTATTCACATATAAAGAATCAAACTGGGATAATATTAAATGCTGCGCTAAAAAATCACAGTATAAGAAATTCTATATATGTTTCTGCTTGATTTGGTCAAAATAAATAACATTTTTCATTTCCTTAAAAAAAGAACACAGTAATAACAACAGTCCATTTAAGTCATAACTTCCCTACTGTCCTCCATTTCCCTATAATTAAAAAAACATAAAGCTAATAGCAAAGAGCAAAGGTTAAAAACCCAAAGTTGCAATGCACAGCTTATTTACATGACCAAGTATAATTTAAAAGAACTGAACTTAGAAACCACAGTGAAGTTTTTAGTAGAAAAAAAAATTAATCAAAATGTTTGTTTTAAGAATTGAAGCAAAAATATAACACTGCAAAGGGGGACAAACTAGCATAAAAAGGGAAGGAAAGATTTTGCCTGATATAACATTCTAACATCTGCTGAGCACCTCTAATTCTGCGTATTTAGTGGAATAATGTTTTATTATTAACAAACATAAAAAAGTTTATAATACTAAAACACAGCTCAATTATATTGAAATGCAAATTATTTATTCATTCAAAATTGATTTTAAGTACCAGTTCTTTAAATCTTGCTGAAAATACAAGTAGTGTAAAAGTCTCAATATCATCCTCAGTTACAAAATATAAGCCACACATGACTAACATAAAATTACCAATTTATATTAACACAATAGTGCCAGCAGTATGTGATTACTGAATGTAGCCTATCTTTCACCACCATTGTGATGGGATTATCTTAACGTGATGATTTCTGGGAAATATATAATCTAAATATCACCAGAAATAAAGCAAAAATAAACCAAATCTGAAAAGCTATCCAACAGAAAGTTCTTACTCCCATTAAATACTCACTGCTTTATGCCTTCGTACCCTGTCTCGGCACATTTACTGATCACTTACTATGTGCTGGCTGTGGGCAGACTCTGTACTTCTGATGGAAAGTCAGCCCATTAAAGTCATGCCTTCCCAAAGCTTTCGTCCCACCATCTGTTGCTGATCTCCAAGATGAAGAAGCACTAGGCCTGCACCCTTCTTCCCTCGAGGATCCTACTGGTCATTCATGCATGCACTTAATTCACACATTTACTATGGACCTATTATGCAAGGAACAGTACTAAGCACTATGGAGCACAGGTTAAACAAACAAACAAAAAAAGGTTCCTATCCTCAGGAAATATGAAAACAAGTGAGGGTCTGAGACAAACGACAACAACACAAAAGCAAGACATACTGCATACTGAGCAGTGACACGTAGTAGGAGAGAAAACAGAGAAGAAGGATATTAAAATATCAGCAGGGGTTGAAACTCTCTATGTGGGTGGCCCAGGAAAAAGATTTGTGGTGTGAAGGGTCTGGGAGAGCAACTGAGTAAGGCACAGTGACCCCGTGGGAGAAAGGACCACCGAAGACACCTTGAGGGGAGCTCTCACAACAGTGAAATGGCAACACAGAGCTCCCAGGAAGTGAAGATAAGCAGACCCAGAGGTGAGGAAGGAGAAGACAGGGCTGGTGTGCAGGAAGAATCAATGTGAAGGTCATACGGCTTTTACTCGGTGAAAAGAAAAACCAAGGCCGCCATCTGAATAGAGATGGGTCTTGTTTGTGGAGGGAGGCAGCTCAAGCTCAACCAAGGGCTAGCAGTGGAGAAGAGAACTGGTCAGAGTAGGGATATATATTTGTAATTAGATATATAATTGTAATATTTCCATATGGATTGGATGCAGAGTCTGATAGAGAGGGATCAAAGAAAAGATCAGTTTTTAGTATGGGAGAAACTGGGCTGGTAGGAAGGAGACCAGTTTGGAACATATTCAGTGAGGGAGCCTACTGGCCATCTAAGAGACTTGGCAAACATGAGGCTGACTACTGGCCAAGGGCAAGACCCATGCTGGAAATGTACTTGCTAAGGTTATCCACCTGAAAGAACAACTTTAAATAACAAAAAACATCACATTTAAAAGATGACTGATTAACTTACAAGTATCTATAACGGCCTGATACAGCATCTTTTAAACTTGGGTTTGGTGTAAAAAGAATAATACTGTGGTAACATTTGCATTTGAGTTATAGATCTCTATTTTCTAGTTTTAAAAAAATCCTTATTTTAACTCTTGTTTCAAAATAATTTTTAGTATACTATATGTCATACGATATAAGTCTCTTCCTTCAGTTTAATCACTGTAAAATTATTTCAACATGAGAGTCACAGGAGATGACCCACCTGATCTATTAAATAAAGTTGATCCTTGAACAACATGAGCTTGAACTGCATGGGTCAACTTACATGGGGATTTTCCTCCATCTTTGCCACCTCTCAGACAGCATGACCAATGGCTCCTTTTCTTTCTCCTTCTCCTCAGCCTACTCAATGTAAAGATGATGAAGATGAAGATCTTTAGGACGATCCACTTCAACTTAGTAAATATATTTTCTGTTCATTTTGATTTTCTTAACAACATTTTCTTTAGCTTACTGTATTATAAGGATACAGGATATAATATATACAACATTCAAAATGTATGCCCATCAATTGGTGATGTTATTGGTGAGGCTTCTGATCAACAGTAGGCTTTCAATAGTTAAGCCTTGGGGGAAACAAAACTTATATGCAGGCTTCTGACTGCATGGTGCCCTTAACCCCCATGTTGTTGTTCAAGGATCAATTGTAAACACAAGCAAAGAGATGTTAAAAAGCATTAACAGATATACAGAGCCATGACACATTCGCACCCACTGTGTAAGTCAGGATACTGAACACAGGGGCCAAAAGTCACATTTGCAGAGGTGAGCTTCCCCTTTGCCAAACAGATATCTATAGATGACGGATGTATAGAGATAATAGGGATGATACCAAAAATGTTGGGGTGGAGGGGATGCTCAAAGAAGTCTGAACACTCAGGTAAGAGAAAAGCACCACAAATTTCTCAGTCGTGTCTATGCCGGTGAGCACTATGAGTCCCAGGAAATGAACAGGAAGCCTGTATCACATTTTCTAACCTCACTGGACCGCTGAGTATTATTGTCATAACAAATATAAATACACCTACTAGAATTCTGTATGCAGGATGCAATTTAGAAAATGCTTATCTTAGTCCATCTGAGCTGCTATAATAAAATACCTCAGACTGAGTAACTTATGAAGAGCAGAAATGTATTTCCCACAGCTATGAAGACTGGAGGTCCAGGATCAAGGAGACAGAGAAGGCCCGTTCCTCACACATGATGCCTACTATGTGTCCTCACATGGAGAAAGGGGCAAATAGACTCCTAAAAGATTCTTTAATAAGGACACAAATTCAACCCATAGGGGGCTCCACCCTTCCAAAATCAGCTGCCAAAGGGCTTATCTCTTCATACCATTGCACTGCGATTAGATGTTAACATGAATTTTAGATGGACAAAACATTCAGATCATGGCACTGCTGGTGTAAACTCTGAGGAATTTTGGAATTGGGACATACAAAAGATTTGATTTACTTTGTAAAGGCACTGGAAAACTGTAATTAAAGCACAGGCTTTACAGAGCTGAGATCAGATCCTGACTACTATTAAACACGTGGGAGAGACTGTACAATTTTTTCTAATCAAACGAATCTTCT